CCCTTTTAATGTACCTGACCTTTTGTTCTGCAGCCTGTCGATTCATGTTGCCTTCACAGATCTGATGTTTTCTGTCTGCTTTAGTTGTTGCTAGAATAATGGTGCTTATGTATGTGCGAGAGAGTGCTTTTATTTTTTTATTTGTGGTGTGGGGGGTGCGAAGACAACGACCCACATACTGTAGCACACCTCCTCCAGTCATGCTGATACTAATTTGACACATATAAGGACACACTCGCAGACACTCGCACACACCCACGCACACAGAGACACGCACACGCAGCGGATGAGTCATTGCTGGATCCTTAATTAGGACCATTTAAGCATGTTATGTGTGTCTCGCTTACACGCTCCTCTTTCCCTCCCTAATTCCTTCTGCTCCTTGTTACTTCCTCGTCTCCCAAGCTGGATAAATATAGAAAGTTGGTGGCCATGGAGTCTCATCGACCACCTCTCTCTCTTCTTCTTCTGCCTCTGCTTTTTCACACTTTTTCAGCGTAGTTTTCCTCTTGGAAGATAAGGTGTGGGCACTGGGTTAAAACTATATATGAGATACAGAGAGACAAGGGAGAGAAGGAGAGAGTAGGGGTTTGACAATTGTGTTATCTGATGCGTTGGAGTGTGTGAATGGTGCATGGATACAGTCATTACAAGAATAGGGGGCGGAAACGCTGCATGTGTTGAGAGAGAATATTGACAGGGTATATTATGTAGAGTATTTTCCGAAATCATGTATCCACAGATAATACTATATATTGATATGTCACTGTATAAAGTATATTTATCATTGTTTTTTATAGTGTTTATTTCGTCTTTTAGAAAGAGCTACAATTTATATTTAAAAGCGTAATAATATAAGAATCTAATTTAAATTTTGATTTTGAAAAATACACTACGCAGCAATGGATTTTTCTCGCTCATAGGGCATTATTTTAATTGCGCAAGCACAATGACCAGCGCTTGGGTGCTTGAGTGTTATTTTTTTATGCCAAGCATCTACTGACTTGCAAGTGCTTAATTAAATTAGTTTATTTACATTTCAAGTATTATTGCGTTATTGCTCTGCATTTGTTCCAAGTATTTATTTTGCTCTTGTTCACTAAAGTTGCAGTGGTTGAAGGTGAGAAACAGATGTCATTGTGAGATGTCTATTCGACCCATTTTCCGCCAAAATATCAACAACTCGCTTCGCTCTGCCTCATTTTAATGAACCTCCCACCTGTTTGTGCATCTCCTCCCACCTGTGCACCCTGTGCTGGGAACCAAAATACCACACAGATGGGCAAAATGAATTTCAAGGTTAGGAAAATATCAAGCTGCTTGCACTAGTTGTGGTGCAGCCATTAAAACAAAGCCCGTAATCACATAATCAGTAGCTCACTTCGCTTTTTTTTTTCTAACCAGGGGCGTTTCTAAACATTTAGATTCATGGAGAGGGACCATTCAATCATACAGCATATGTGGCAGCCAAGTGCACTCTATATTGCTTAGTGTACTCCGTTGCACCAGTACCTGCGCCCAGCAGCGATGTCATACAGACGCCCTCTGTAATACACATGTATATCACAGCAGCAAGGTAAGAGGACAGCAAAATAAAAAATTTCTTTAGCAAACATAAAGAAACAGCGATGGACATATTGTGAGAAATAGAGAGAATAAAACACAGATGTGTATTGACAGTCCACTGCACAACAGTGTTGTACTAGCAGAGTAAACACTTGATGAATTTGAGTTAGAAGGATTACAGCTTCACTAAATACTCGATAACAAATTAGCTCTCCAGCAGTGGGTTTACATTTCCATCTAGAACAATAGATATTCTTCTGAAAGTACCAACTCATGTAACCGCATTGCATGTGTTTAAATACTTAGTGTTTTATTTGATATAAAGAGAAAGTTCAGACCACAAAATACGCCTCCAGAGATAAAATAATTCAAAGGACTCTCAGCTTTCTAACAATCACAGGATTAAATTTAAAAAAAGTGTAAAATTGCTAGTTCAGTAGAAGCAGCAGTTGGCAGAGCATTAACACTGCTAAGTTTAGTGCTTCAGTTCCCACTAAAGCCTCCAGGAACCGCACTGGAGTGTGTGGCCCCAGTCGAAATTCAGAATAGAATTGCTTCATTTTCTGAATCCATGGTCAAAATGCCAAGATGGTGGCATGGTTACCTGCAACAGCCTGGGACGCTTCAGGTTTTACTGAGTGATCCGTGCTTGAACAGTTCACTGTGCTCATGGATACTGTACTTCCTAAGAAACAGACCCCAAAATGTCAGAATTTCTAAACCACACCTCCTCAACTCTGATCCTGAAACTCCTTAAACTGGAGCCCCCCAAGGGTGTGTCCTCAGCCCCCTTCTTTACACCTTCTTTACTCGATTATTTCCCCATTCACCCCTCCAACACCATTGTCATATTTGTAGACGACGCCACCTTAGTAGAATTGATAATAAACAACCTACAGGGAGGAGGTACAGTATCTGGCTGAGTAGTGTTCCCACAACAACCTGGACCTAAACACAACAAAAACCAAGGAGATGATAATAGACTTCAGAAGATCACAGCAAATTGAGCTCAGTGTTCGCTACATAAGGAGGGAGGAGGTAGAGAGAGTGGAGAACTTTCATTTCCTGAGAGTCACGGCTGACCTCACATGGTCTGTAAACATCTCTTACCAGATGATTAGGGCCCAGAAGAAACTATACTTCTTAAGTAGTTAGTTTCTTAAGTCCAACATCCCGCAGCAGCTGCTGGTGAACTTTTACCGCGCCACCATCGAGAGCCTCCTCACCTACTGCTGCACAGTGTGGTCTGTATGGAGAAGACTGCAGCTGGTGGTGAAGGTGGCTCAGCGAATCATTGGGACCACATTCCCACCTCTGAGGGACATTTACAGTGACCGACTGCAAAAGAAAGCCAGCTGTATCATAAAAGACCCATCCAACCCTGGACACTGTCTGCCGCCCCCCCACTTAAAGAAGAACAAACAGAATGAAAAACAGCTTCTTTCCCAGAGCTGTTCCCTCAGTTTATTGAACTGCCTCATTGTTTTGTGCACAATAACAATAAAGATCTATCTATTTAATAACTTTCCATACATACATTATAATACAAATGTCTGTAAAACGAAAATAAAGTGTTTCCTGAGAGATTAATCATCGAATTATCACAATTATAACCATTAGGTGGATAAAATTCAAAAGTAACAAGAACTGTATCAACATATAATTTTGTTGCCATTCACGGGCACCCACGTAGGAAACGGGAGAAACTTTTTCGGCATCTGTGCTGAGTTGACAGCTTAAATTAGGATGAATGGGCCGCCATGTTTGGCTTCCTCATCCACATTTAATGCATCCAAGTTCCCATAGGAATAAATACAGTAGTTAAGGTTGTTGTTAATGAGAAAAACTAAATGTGAATGGGAGGTCAAAAGCCATTCTTAAATGTGCCGCTGTTTTGGGGTAGTCAAGCAAAAGAGAATATGATTTCATTTGTGGCTTGTTTGTGTATGTCTCTGTCTGCATCTGTGTGTGCGTGCCTGTGTGTGTGTGCACGCACAGGCAGAATTTTCTCCTACCAATTAACCATGACACAGCTGTGCTTTCCCTTCCTCATCTGCTCCTCTGTGGGTTTCAGTTGAACAATAATCTGCTTTAGATACTGCCGCGATGCCTCCAAAGCTCACTTGTCATCAATATCAATGCTTGATTCCGACACAACTGTAAGCTCACACACGCAGGTGCAGGTAACAGCAATATAGACATCCAAAAGAAATGTAAGAATTAGATTAAATGCAAGTCATTAGCCTGCTTCTCTCACACATTCAGCTCTGTTGATTATGGTCGTGTGATGTGTTGTGGCACAGTGACGTTTTACCTCTTTGATGTAGGCGAGGCCCCCGAAAATATTCTCCTTATGTAACTGTCCCTGCTGCAAGGCCGCACGAGGCTGTTTGAGGCAAAGCGTAATGGTGGATATGCTTCTGAATGTGTGCATGTGCTTGTGTTTGTCTGTGTGTGTGTGTTTGCATACAGTATGTAAGCACTTATCTGTATGTGCTTGTGTGTCTGCGTGTTTGAGAGACAGACTATGCTTTCTCCTCGGTGAATTATGCAGACCAGGATGAGGGTGCAGGGCGGGGAAGAACCGGCAGTTACACAGCTTTTGAATTAGAAGAGTCAAAACACTATAGAATGAAACACTGGAAAGAGGAAGACGGGAAGTGAGACAGAGAGCAGGGAAGGGCAGGATGAGGAGAGGAAGGGTTTAGGAAATGGATTAATCCAAGACCACTAAAAGGGTAAAGAACATAGGGGGTAAGAGAGAATGAGACTCTGGGGTTTATGGTGTCTTAAAGCAGTTCAGTGGTATAATGAGAAATAGAGTACAGAAAAGAAACCAGAAGCAGGAAGGAGAGCAACACAAAGCAGGAAATTCCTTTGAGAGTTTGGCAATAACTTTCATATCTACAGTATCCTCTCCTGTACATAGACTCACTCTGTGCAAAAAACCCACCTGCTAATTATGCATAATTACCCCAAATAGCCTCTGATTAGCAGGCAAGGAGCCATTTTTTGTGTGGAACAGTAGGGGGCTTATCAGTGAATCTTTTTCTCTCTCTTTGTCTCTCTCTCACACACACACACACACATACACACACACTGCAGGAACAAAGCACAAAGTGGGCTGGTTATTTTTGGTACAGGCCCTTAAAAAAAAAAACCTATAAAATTAGAAAGCGTACAGTGTCTTGACAATACACTTGTGAGATATCACAGGTGTCACATTTGCACCTTGTAACTAAATCTGGATTTAGTTTTTCCATTTATAGATCAAGTATTCCTGATGTGATGAAGCCTATTTATTGACTTTCCTCTTCTGTTTTTTTTCCATTCTTAACTTCCTTCTTCCTTCTTCACATTTCTGTCCCTTTTTCTGTATTGTTCATTCCTGTTTTCCTTCCTACAATGACTCTCTAACTTGTTTTCATGTGCAGGTATTGGTCAAGGTGTGCCGGTGGTGGCTCTCATCGTAGAAGGAGGCCCTAATGTGATCTCCATCGTGCTGGAGTACCTCAGGGACACACCTCCCGTCCCTGTGGTGGTGTGTGACGGCAGTGGCAGGGCCTCAGACATCTTGGCCTTCGGACACAAATACTCTGAGGAGGGAGGGTATGCACTCACATGTGCACATTATGCTGTAATCCAAGCACAAACACTTACTAATGCAAATTTTATCCAGTGTGAAAAATCTGTTACACTGTGGAAATAGTCAGACAATTGTTTGTAATCAGAATTTCTGATAACATTTTTGTTTGACTTTTATAGATCAGACATACAGAACATGACATTTAATGTATAGTGTATATGGCAGAAATATATAATATAATAATATAAAATATAATTCTGCAGCTATTGTCGGTTTTAGTTTAAAAACTCTAAGTGATGCAAGAACTTGTAAAAATATACACATTTTCTGAAATGTGCTGATGCATTACTTTAATAATACACACTAAACATTTTTGGTTATATTCCTCATGAGTCACACAATGAATTCAGAACTGTTTTTACAGCTTCACATAATCCAGTTACAGATAAGGGTAAATTTGGAGAATCGCATCTCACCAAGGACTCAGAGATAGTAGTGCTAAGAGCCCCAGTCAACCTTGGTTTCACTTACTGACAAACAAATCTAATTTGCCCACTTTCCCCAACCATTTTCTTCTCCTTACCTCTATCTGACCCCCTTCCTGACACTCTTTCTTCCTCACCTCTGTGCCTCTGCAGCATAATTAATGAGTCTCTAAGAGACCAGTTACTGGTGACCATCCAGAAGACTTTCACCTACAGCCGCACACAGGCCCAACATCTGTTCATCATTCTCATGGAGTGCATGAAAAAGAAGGAGCTGGTGAGTATCACTGTCATGCATGTGCATATACACATGCCCCCAAACCCACACATGTAAATATTTGCACAGTAGTATATTTGCAGAGGTAGAAAAAGCAAACATATGAGAGGTATATACAAAATAAACACTGAATAGAGACAGACTCACATAGACAGACGCTGTCTCTCTCTCTCTCTCCCTCTCTCCATCACACACGCACACACACCATGAAATCAGTAATAACAGCAATATTACATTCACTTAAGCTTTGATGTCTCTGCTTTATAAAGAAGCCCAAAAATGAAAAAAGATATGTGAAAGAGGAACAAAATGGATTTGTCAAATGAAGCTTGCTCATCATGAAACTTTTATTGAAGCAATTATTACCATCTTTTATGCATGACATGTAATGTTAAGTGGATGTAAATGTATTCAGATGACGTTCGGGACCAAATGGCCTCCACCTTGAGAGTCTTTACCCCTTTGGCAGTGGTTAAGGCAAGACACACGTCGAGTGGGGCTGTCATACACATCCCTCTCCCATGGGGAGGAGTCTCAGTCCCTTTACAGCAGTGTCTCTCACATGAAATCAACCTCTTATTAATGCTGTTAAATGCTCTGTAGAGGTGATGTGTATTTACGTATATGTGCATAAGTTTGTGTGTATACCTTTATCATAATTATGACTCACAGTAGCAGGGGGTATGATGCTCTTTCAACACACAGATTGTGTTTGAAAGCGTGTGCAACGAAAGTGCATGTAGGGTGGCTCAGAGGTAGGGTGGGTGTCCAGTAATCAGAAGGTTGGCGGTATGTGAGCAAGATACTGAACCC